ACAATTCAGCTTCAAATTTTCGGAATCTTATATAATTATGTTTTGTTATATATTTGTCTTATATTTGTCTTACCCTGGCTTGCATTAATACTGTATTGCAAAAATACTACATTAATGAATATGGTTTACTTAAAGGGGGTAGCTCGTCACGGCCGGGTAAGTTGTCTAATGATTGATCTACGTTTGCCAGAAAAACACAAACGTTTTACATTCCCTAGGAGAACTAATTTATAAAAGCAAGTCCTTATGTGTCAACCCGTATTTGTATGAATTCCGACATCACGCTGACATTGTTACAATACCTGATTACTAACCACTATACAATGCTAGACTTTAATCTATCCATTTTTTAGATTATTATAATCCTTTAGTATATAATCACAGTCCCGCCGGCTGTACATGTTATGTGTATGACACTGTATACATGCCAGCCACGGGGGCATATTGGATTGCCGGAGACTATCTTTAATCCTAAAATAATGGTCAACATGTTTTCTATTATCTAGCCGACCCTGCTCAGCAGGTATATCGTTTGATACAAAGTATACCCAGATTCCTTTCCTAAAGCGCATTAGGGGTACGTCGGGCGCATTTCTGTGGTTGCCTGACTATTGAGAAATTCAACGTTTTGCAACGTCTGAGAGGTTTGGGATTGAAACGGAAGATGATGCGTAAGACTCAAAGTTACTAAGTCCCACTTGTGACCACTCCGATAACAATGCGCTGTAGTAATGTTGTTTATAGTTAAATGTTTTTGGTTTACCAAGCATGGTTGAAATTAGGTCATAGAGGAAATAACGTTATTGCTATTCATCCGGATAACATTTGCAATGTTATCCTCTTTAATACCATCACAATTGGTTGGACTCTTATCAGTAATATTGTACGGAAACTCTTGAGCTGACCCTGCAGTTGACATTCTGATTCTCTTCGCATCTTTAATTACAACAGACAATCTGTGAATCCAAATAAGGATTGCAATGACAATCCATAATGGGTGATTCCAAATAAGGATTGCGATGACAATCCATAATGGGTGATTCCAAATAAGGATTGCAATGACAATCCATAATGGGTGATTCCAAGTAAGGATTGCAATGACAATCCATAATGGGTGATTCCAAATAAGGATTGCAATGACAATGCATAATGGGTGATTCCAAATAAGGATTGCAATGACAAACCATAATGGGTGATTCCAAATAAGGATTGCAATGACAATGCATAATGGGTGATTCCAAATAAGGATTGCAATGACAAACCATAATGGGTGATTCCAAATAAGGATTGCAATGACAATCCATAATGGTAGCGCAACTTCTTCCCAACTGCTACTTAAACCCAATAAAGAAGGAGATTCTTAACAGGGAGGGGAGCTGCATTAAGTGGGAATCTGCATTTAGAAAGATTGCAGTGGGGGAAAAGCTACATCAGGACCTGTATTAAGTGGGAACCTATATTAAGAAAGATCTGCATTTTAAAGAATTTGCAGAAAGGGGAAAGGTGCGTTAAGGAAAAACCTGCATAAAAAGATCTGCAGTAAGGAAAAGCTACATTAAGGGGGAACCAGCATTAAGAAAATCCAAAAAGGGAAAGCTACATTGGGGGACCTGTATTAAGTGGGAGCCTGCATTTTAAAAAAATTGCAGAGAGGGGAAAGGTACATTAAGGGGGAAGCAGCATTAAGAAAATCAAAAAAGGCTGCAGAAAGGGTAAAGCTACATTAAGGGGGAACCTGCATTATGAAAAGTCTGCAGAAAGGTGAAAGGTACATTTAGGGAGAACCTGCATTATGAAAAGTCTGCAGAAAGGGGAAAGGTACATTTAGGGAGAACCTGCATTAAGAAAATCCAAAAAAGGCTGCAGAAAGGGTAAAGCCACATTAAGGGGGAACCTGCATTATGAAAAGTCTGCAGACAGGGGAAGGGTACATTTAGGGAGAACCTGCATCAAGTAAAATCTACAGAAAGGGGATAGCTACAGCAAAGGAAACCTGCATTAAGAGCGAACTTGCATTAAAAAAGATCTGAGAAAGGGGGAAGCTACATTAGGGGAAACCTGCATCAAGTGGGAAGCTGCATTAATAAAACCTGCAGAAAGGGGAAAGCTACATTAGGGGGAACCTGCATTGGGTAGTAACTTGCATTAAGAAAAATCTGCAGTACGTGAAAATCTGCAGTAGGGGAGAACCTCCATTAAGGTGGAACCTGCATTAAGAAAGATCTGCAGTGTAGGAAACGCTATAGTAAGAGAGAACCTGCATTAAGGGGGTACCTGCTGTAACTGAAATCTGCTGTAGAGAAAACTACTGAACCAAAATATGCAGAAACAACTGCTCCCCTGTATGTTCTTTTCGAATTTAATAAGAGTCCCAGCTGTCTATAATCCCTTGGAAAAAAATCCCCCTAAGCTAACAGTTTGCTTTTCGGGCCAATAACACACCTTGCAGGTGACTTGAGATCAAATCTTACCTTCTCCGAATACTTGACTTATGCCGTGGTCACATTTGCTCCGATTTTTAGCACCGGCGCCCGGCCGACGAGTAAATACTCAATCGGCCGGGTGCCGTAGTAAAAACGGAGCAAATGTGACCACGGCATTAGCTTGGAGAAAACCCCAGAAATATCGCTTTTTGTTACAATTCCTTGATAGATATGAATATCATACACATTACACAGTGAAAATAAAGCATGAAGTAGGTACTAGAAAACAGTAAATGTTTACATTCTTTTAGATGAAGGTATATAAAACATTCAAGGAATAATGAATACCGTATGTCAATCATCATGTCAATATCCCTTATGCCTTGGTCACATTTGCTCCAATTTTCACTACGGCGCCCGGCCGATTGAGTATGTTGTTCAAAATTGAATACAATATTGAACAAAATACTCAATCGGCCGGGCGCCGGCCAATGGATCGGAGCAAATGTGACCCAGGCATTACACAACTAATTTTACGGAAAAGCCGTCACATTTGCTCCAATTTATCGGGAGGCGCCCATCCGATTAAGTATTCTGGTCAAAACTGTTTGAACAAAATACTCAATCGGCCGGGCGTCGGCCGATGAGTCGGAGCAAATGTGACCCAGGCATAAGATTGAACAAGCTCAAGTCAAATGACAGCTCAAACAGTTATAACGAACTACATATTGAGATAGATCACTCGGATTTTTTGAAATTAAATCGAATGCAAAAACATGCAACGGTCATGGCAAAAGCTGGCTACGGTCCTGGGGTCAACACAAATGAGGTCACGGAAGGTCAATATGTATGTTATCAGTCAAGGTCACCCGCAAAGTGTGATATGACAATTGTCAGTCTTGCAAATAGAAATGAAGTATAGATGAAACAGAAAAGATTTTAAGTCATTGAATATGATGATTCCTGAGCTCAATAGTCTCAATTATTCTACAAGTCAATTATATTCTAATGTACTTGGCATCGTATGGACACGAATGTTCAAAGTCGATGAAGTCAATGGTAGAAAGAGGACCCTAAATGTTTGGGTATACACGTAGCTTTATTCTTTCCATATAAGCTCTTTAATGGAAACTTAACCGGTTTAAAAAATCAAATCATAACAAAACGTATGCCAGTCTTTTGCTATGGAGTCTTAGTGAATCCATGTTTACTGTTCATGCGGACAACGGCGGTTTCTCAGTGTGACAACAGATGCGGAAACAACAGTTTCCGTAAAGATTGCGACTAAATGTATGTTTTTGCTCTCTGCTGCTCGCACAGTTGGGTAACGGGTAATAATTAACTAATTCCTATCCTCATCCCATCCCTAATATCGGGGATTGTGTTGATGTATGCTTTTTGACACTTGGCATGAGACTTTCAAAATTGGCGAATAACTACCCGGCTTCGGTTATAGCAATTTACAAATTATTATGATAAGCCTATCCGTTAATTGAGCCCCACTGTGCAAGCAACAGATAGTGAAATAAAAAGCGTTTACCTTTCTCTGCTATTTTAGAACATTTTATAAATACGGAAAATGTTTATCTTAGAACAGTTACCCCATGAGATGTACATGCTATACATAAAGATCACGGCATCTACCTTTGAGATATCGACAATGACCAAGACCCAGTTCCCCAATATTGATCCTATTACAATAATCAAACCGTGGGATTATATTTAAGATTTTGATGAACAGTCAGTTTTTCCATGGGTATTTTTACTTGTTGAATAATCAACAGCGATTATTCAACATGTCCATATGTTACTTTTTGCTACCATATTAATGTTTGTAAAATAGCCATGGAACTTAACGTTGATGAAGGATGTTAGGATATATAAGTTAAAACGTCATCAAGTAGTTAAAGGTTTCAATGACTGATTTTGCTACTTTGGAGGTCTGTCAATGTTATTAGCCACAGGCCAGGGGAAAGTGGCCAACGGTTATGACTACTTCATTGAAATGTTTAGATCTCCAAGGTGTGCATTATCGAACGTACTTTTATGTCGGCTACTTTGAAGTTGTCATCTCATCTACTGTCCAACTATCATTGCGGTTGAACTGTCACTTTTAAGCTATGTTAAACCTCTGTGTAAATGATTGTTCAGTATCTATAGTTCAGATTATAGTAGTGTTTGAATTGCTCTGATGGAAGCCATGTTTTTGTAGAGGAAAAGATGACAAGTAGTCTCCGAGAAGGCACCGAAACAGATCCCACTGAGCATAAACAATGACTCAGACCATGTTAATCAATAATCTGACAGACTTATACCAGTTGATCTATTTATTATTGTTCTTAGATTATTTGGCTAAATTGAATTTGTGATGCTTCCGGAAAAGTCAGTGTTGTAATTTGTCCAGACCTTACCAGCAGTAGTAAAACTGACGTCATCGCTTGTTTTATGAATGAATGAATCAAGTGCTATTTGGATTGGCTAGAAACTTACTACTGCAGCGTTTAACAGCTTGAGCATATTGTAGTTTCTAGTAATTCGATAATTTGGCAGCTGTCAACTATATAATCACCGTAAAACAGTTGACTCATAGCTCCGCCTTTCCAAAGATAGATACGCCTTTTTGCCCTTATATGGTAAGTGACGATAAAAGCATATAAGGCAGAGAAACACATGATTCTTCACATTCAGAACTCTGAAGCCATTCGATTAAAACATAAACTTAACAAGAGTCAAGACACTTCAGTTCTGCTTAGAAAACAACTGGGAAATAAGTTAAACATTAACTGAGATCGAAAAAAGAACCGCAACAACACTTCAGCATGTAAGTATAACTTTTATTTTACTTTCAATTTTATCTATATTTGAAAGTTAATATTCTACGAGTGTGGGTGTATTTGTAAAAGGCTTAGCAAGCATGTTTCACAAGGTCTGGACTTTGATGGTCTCTTTGATGGGATTAGTGTATTACTATATGAGATCAGTTTTATTTCAATCCAGAATTTCAATCATCGTTCGATAATTACAACATCTATATCGATCTTAATCATGAGATGCAACAGGCGAGCAAATCAACAACTTGTTCATATCATGATAACGACAAACCGCTTGTTGCACGTCTTAATAAATCGTGACACCCCGTTGATAAATAATTAAATATAGAAAAGTCCAATAACATATCACGACATAATACACAGCTTATGAATAACAGAAGTGGTACTTTTCACAGGTATATTAAAATTTTAGTAGATTAATCAGTTAGTGGCATAAATTGATATTACATTTACCTTTGAACCATTAACAGGTATTTTGGGCAATTGGCGATTTCGAGTATTATGCAATACGCCCACGCACGTGAAGTTGACACTGTTAGGTCTGGAGCGAAACCGTTTGTTTTACTAGTCTCTATTCATCACAACTTTCACACCAATATCAGCACATTGAAGTGTTAGTTTATTAGAGCTGTTAACACAGTCTCTAGGCGGGCTCCACTCTCATTCATTATACTGTTTACAAGACTTCTTTGCTATGGGTTACCCTGTCTTGGAAGATGAAAACATCACTCATGTATATGAAGGCATAATGCAAATCAAAACCAAATTGTAGCTTATTCTATAGTTTACCAATAAATATAGTATAGGTATACATGTTTACGCTGCTATTCAAAGGATCGCCTGAATTAAAGGCTTACTTACTAATTGATTTTTTTAATTAAAGAAGTTGAGTGGGAGATCGGTGGGACTTTCGATTCTGTCATTAATGTCAACAGATTTTGCAGCTACCTAGACTAAACATGTTAATGAATGAAAGAAAAAAGAGTTGAAATATATATACCGAGATATCGAGATCCACTTAACGTAATACTTGACATATTGGGAGATGAACTCATGAAACTAAAACGCAATCTACTTATGTCTAAATTCTTGTATCTCTTTTATATGCCGCACCTTGCCCATTTCAATCATTTCATTGATTACAACTTGAAAAATTTTAAACAATTGACTTCGAACCTTGAACCAATATCTTAAACATACAGTTTCAAGTTACAGTATTCATATGGTATCGATAAAGTCAAGAATAATATGGTATCGCCTAGTAAATTTACTTAGGTTTATAAGATATCTCAATCAAAACCACTTCCTGATAATTTGTATGTAATGTAATGTACATTTGAGCCTATAATTTGAGCTTTCCGTTATGCTTTTAGCCAGGTCATTGGTGGAAAAACAATGACGAATGGCCACACAAGTGAAATTCCTTGAAGCCTTAAAATAATATATTTCATCAGTATTCCGCTTGTATATACTCTTGTATGTGAGGCACTATACTAGCAGACACCGGTGGATAGCTAAATAGAACTTAGGCCACGTAAAATACAGTGTTATGTAGAAAAACAGAAACAGAAAGAAATGAGATCCCATATTGCTTTCAGCTCTGATAGGATGGGCGCATTATATTTGATGATTACGAGATTACTAATAATTGGGAGGAAAAAAGTAACGTATAGATAATGTAATTACGCAGCTGGACCAAAACTGTATCAATGAATCATTCATTTTGACATCACTTCACGGCTCTTTTATCATGGACAATTTGAGCTGGTAGATACTGAGCCTGGTAATTGCTATATAATTAAATCTCAACAGTGTTGGTTATAAATAGAAATATTGGTTAGACCACCACTTGAGGGATATCGAATATTAATATTTTAGATAAATTTTCTTTATTTTGGATCAACAATAATACAGGTGGTTTCTCCTGACATTCCTTGTTCCAAATTGGGTGTAGTTCCGTGGTTTTAGTTTCATGTTATTACCAATGGAGAGCTGTTGTGAAGTTTGAAGGGACAAAAATTACCTTGTTATAATTAATTTTATTAGTAGCTCTTACTCCATTTCAAGCATTATTATACCGGACGCCTACGACCAGCACTCATGATTTAAAAGCATCAAAAACATTAAAAAAAATATTATGAATATAGTGATTAGGAATTCTGGGCGAGCACAATTTAGAAACGTCCGGAGTTTTTTTTTAATATGCCAATGATTTCCTATCATGCAGGGCGACCTTTAAAAATCGCCCCGAAAATAGCTGCAAAGTAGGAGTTGAGTATTTGAAGAGGTGGTGGCAAATGATTTTATTCTAGCATTACACAATTGTAATGTTAATTATAGACATGCTCATTCCAAGAACTTTTGTAATTAGTACTTGTCTCTTTAATCAGGCAATAGTAAATGTTGTTTCAATTAAAAATGGAACGTGTCATATTGCAGCACAACCTTGAGGCCATTGACTGACCATCGAGTCATTGGTCGTGACGCATCATTTATACTCATTTATCACTATTTTTTCAAAATGAAAACACTCCATTGTCTCAGCAACCCTATGTAACTAGATCAGTATGAATTGGTATAAAAAAAGATGAATGCACATAACCATAAATTGCAAATTGTCATTCTCTTGTTGGGCTGTTGTCATAATAAGTTACATAATGAATGACTTATGAATACTATATCTTCCGATCCTGTCCTGTTTGTGGAGTGGCTGTTCCCAGCAGCAAGCCTTTCACTTATTTTGCCCTAATCTGAATCTGACATGACAAACCAAATGTCAACTGTTGGCTAGAGTCCACGGGAAATGAAGGGCAATGTCGCGAATGATCAACTGTCACATCAGAAAATCATAGTAGGGATCGATCAAAGCTAATGACTAAATAACATTTTAATGTTTTGCGTAAATGGAAGTTCAACCCCATGAGTTATAGCAATTATGTGGTCATTGGGAAGAGCGCCGAATCGGGCTCCCCAGCTAGTTGACGCGTCTGCGTTTCCCAAGGTTCCCTTTGACATGCGCTCGCTGCAATTTCTTTTCACTTTTCTGACATTACTTCACATAAATAACAGTTAAAGAGGATTCGTTGTATGTTTTTGAGACCTACATGTGTTTTCTTTTATTGGGGTCAAAGAGTAACGCGGAAATATATAAGCTTAGAAAATATAGTATGTATTGCGGTTAATTCTGTCATCTGAGTGATATATTTATAGATGTTTTACCAGAAAGGAAGTTTGGTGCTCGATTTCACCTTGACACTATTGTTTATGTTCCTAGTATTGCATATACCTCCATTTCCCTGGCATTCAAGAATCCAAATCGTCATTTAAATAAACGATCGGTAAAACCTGCAAGGGCCAACATTTGAAGAAAGAAACGGTTTCAAAAATTAACGTCGAGGGGGTAAAGAAGTATTAGAAAGATTAACTGGACGTACGTGATAACTGCTTGCTAAGTGTTCTCTTTACGCCAAGGCAGTGGGTAATTTAATCAAAATTACAAAATTTACTCTTTGTATCGAATATGGTGTGAATTGTGACAAAGTAGTCGACTCGTTTAAAACGTGTGGCAATTAGATGTGTACTCTGATTGGTCGTTATCTGTCATATCTGATATAATTGAGTTGTACATATAAAAGAACATCGTGTTTTTTATTACAGTTCAGCTTTTGCGCTCATCAAACTACCTGCCAGTCTCTCCGAACTTCTCAACTAGGATGGCCGTATTTATGTGGCTTGCAGCTCTACTGTCCGTAACACTTATAGGGGCTTACTTCAAAATATTCTACAGAAAGAGGTAAGTTAATTAAGCAGTTTAATTTTACATTAATTTTTAAGTTACAAACTTTTTATGAAAATGTCTAATTCTTCAACTTGACATAAGGTTGCTCTTTGAACTCTATACTTTATAAGTTGGGTGTTATCTATGAACAGCTGATCAGATGAAATCAATTGAATAAGAAATAAGTTACAAATTGAGGCAAAGTCCCTATCGGCAAGACCGTTTTCGGTTCTAGTTTCTGATCTTTGAATCATCATACTCCACGATTTATTCAGAGCTCTGGTAAATCCAATTAAGCGACTTAGAAATACTGTTTACGATTTTAGAGCAAAAACTTTTTGTTAGCTCTCAAAGAAAAAATTAATTATTAACGTTCGAGAGTAAATGCAGTTTGATATCAAGAAAAGCAGTTATTGAAAATTACTTTTTTTTATGTCAAGATGTTTGTATGTTCCGTAATGCTACCACCTTGCTAGTTAATTCCCAGGGGCAAATTGTCTACTTGCACCATTAACACGGCTCGATCTGGTCTTTACCACTACTAGTTTTGTGCTGGGGGCAAGCGGTGCCGTAACGTCGAGATTATACTTGCGACCACGATGCTCTGATGTCAGCGCTTTTCTCTGGAGGCATCTCCAATACTATCTCACCACTCCGTCATTTTACCTATTTAAGTCATAGTTCAAAGACTATGCCTCTAATTAATAGTAAATGCATCATAATGGCAGACAACTGCCCCAGAAGGCTTTTAAAGTCATTTCGGCTCTAATCACTTTTCATTTCCTCTCACTGACTACCATGTAGGCCTAGTAGCCTATACTTAACAACAAATCAATTTATGACAAAGATCGACTTGTATATTGAACAAAGGTGTGTTTTTATATCATGTTTTTAACATCTATCAAGATAATTATTGAGCAATCGTGTCCTTGGTTTTTTGCTGAGATCATGCTGTCAAAAAATCTTATTTAGGCCGACTTTTGATTTCAAGTTACCTTCGATGGCCAGACAAAATATAATTATCAACTTGTTAATCGAATTGAGTGAAATGTAATAAGGTCGAAAAACAACTTGACATGTTATTTGTAAAACTATCCTGTTGATTTGAAATTAATGGAATAATCGTCATTGAAGGTTTGACAAAACACCCATGCAGCTAACGAAGGTCACGGTCAGGTGTTTCACTAACAATTCGTTTGTTGTCCTTCATTTCATTTACATACGTCAGCCCACGCTGAATTATGATAAGACTGTATTGGATTGCAATTATATCAGTCTCTAGTTTTGCCATAGGAAAGTTTTCCAATTCATAAGCATACATTCGGTTGATGTGTATAATTGCATAGTTTACCTCGTCAATCTAAAAGACTAACACCTCTTGAATAAATATGACGTCATGTTCCAAATAAACGTTAGTTTTATATTAATTATTCAATTTGATACCGTTTGCTTTTGTCTAAGCATTTAATTAATGTTATAACAAGGCGGCCAAATATAGTGCTCTGACGAAAGCTGGGAGCAAACATTTAAGTTAATCATGTTAATCATATATTTTCAGACGGCCGGGAGAGCCTACCATCGCCGATGGACACTTTTTGTGGGGAAACGGGGAGGAGTTTAACACACACGCCGTAGAATTCTTGCACAAGTGCAAGAAGACCCTTGGCAACATCTTTACTATCCGTCTCCTGAATCAACATCTTACGATTGTTATGGACCCTCATGCGTACGAATCATTCCATAAGCAGAAAGAGTTCGATTTTGATCCCATACAAAAACAGGTGAACATGAATGTGTTTTCCTTCGAATTGAAAGACTCTCAAAAGCTCATCAAAGGAGCCTCAAAAATGGTGCGCGGTAACTACATGGCAAACAGTGTCCAAAACTTTGTCAACAATGTACATTTAGCAACAGAGGAAAACTTAATATGTAACAAAGATGAATGGAGTCAGGATGGACTGCGTCTCTTTTGTGCTAAAACAATGTTCGACTCTCTTTATCAAACTCTCTTCGGTAGAGCCGAAGTGAACACTCTAAAAATGTATCATGACTTTGAAGTCTATCATAAATACTTCAACTTTCTTTGGCTGGGTCTACCAAGAAAGATGTTCCCACAAGCATGTAAAGCACTAGAGGGGTTGGTGCAACAGCCGACACCAGATGAGCTGATAAAGCGCGACGACATTTCTGAGTACATGCGAACGGCCATCAAGATGCTCCAAGATCTTGACCAGACAGATTCCGAAATTATCGGGCACAATCTTGTGTATCTTCATGTTAACTACAACACCTTCCGCGTGGGTTTCTGGGTACTCGAATACATCCTTCAGCATCCCGAAGCCTACGGCGCTATAATGGAGGAGATCGACGATATGGTTTATGCTAAATCAAGTAACAATAACTCCACAGAAGAGGATGTGTCCATTACTACACATGAGCTTGAACGACTTCCGGTATTAGGTATGTACATATTAATTACGAAAATTGATTTTACCTTATATAATGAGTTCCCCTAAACCACCCGTCTGTGGATCTTATGGTCTAGTCAACCAGTCTAACTCTTCCTTTTAAATGTGTAAAATACTACTAACATTAGCTGATGGTTAGACAGAAACCGAAGAAAGTGTTGCAATTATTGAGTATCTGTCAATGTGTTTCATTGATTTCTTCTCGCCTATCATGTATTTTCTCGACCAACTACCAGTAGTCTAGTCTCGGTTGCTCGGCACCCGCGTATATCATTTAAATATCTGTGGCGTCTGGTAGTACCATCATTACTCCCTGGTGTTCACTAACAATTTGTCTTTTATTTCCAGAGAGCATTGTTCAGGAGACTTTCCGCTTGTCCAGTGGTGTGTTTATGGTGCGATACGTTAATGGTGATACATGGTATACTTTGAGTGATGGCAGTAAGCATTTAATCAGAGACGGTGATAGGGTTGCCATCTATCCCCCAGCTTTACACAAAGATCCAGAAGTCTTCGAAAATCCCAACGTAAGTCCCACTGTTGTTAATTAAGAACACAACTTTATAACAAATTATAAGGCTGAAATATATAAAAATTACTGATTAATTTAATTATTCAAACACTAGTGATAACTATTTTGCAGAACTATGTTTTAAAACAACTCTAATGTAAAATTGTCTTATATTTGCAGGAATTCAAGTACGATCGATTCATTGACGCTAAATTTCACGACAAAAATGGAGCCGAGATCAAACATCCAATCATAGGATTCGGCTCACTTTGTCCAGGCAAGAGATACGCTTTGATACAGTTAAAATGGTTCGTGCTGTACATGCTAAATCGATTTGAGTTTGAACATTTGGAAGGAGAGAAGGCAGAATTAGACTTCCAGTATCATGGACATGAAATCATCCCACCAAAGAAAGATGTTCAAATTAGGTACAGAGAATTGTCAAACAGAAGGACTTTGTGCTTAGAATGAAGCTAGCCACTAAAATCCACCATACAGTAATCTCGTTCATATTTATTATTGTTTACATTTTGAAGATGCTCCATTTACTGAGTGAACTCCTCGTGCGTCTGAAACTTGAAGAAGCTCAGAATGCGAACAGTTAGTTAGTAGTTAGTTAGGAAGTAAGTTATTTAGTTAGTAATTTATTTATTATAGTCTCACATGTAAAATATATCATATCAGTTAAAGTAGATCATATATACGGTAAAAGTACATAATAGAAGTCCAGCCAATACCGGTTTCACAAACACATTTATACCAGCAGTCTACTACAGACTATCCTGCGTATAAGTTATGTAAGTAAATAAAATTGATCATGCCAAAAATAAGTTAATAATGACTTAATTCGAAAATGCCCACCGACAACTCTGAAATAATGATGCCTTTTTAGTTTTGTAAGCTTGACGGAAATGCCCGAAGAGATTCAATGAATTTATATATGTAGAAACAATGTAACAATTACACTGCCCCCACGCAGCAATGATTCCCTGCAATTGTGTAGTGAAGTGACACTTCGTGAATTGTTATTGGCCCCGATCCCGGGGCTCCAACGCACAATGTTAAGGTTCATTTCAACATTGGTAATGAATAGCATTGTGAAAAATAACCAAAGGGAATTGTTAACAACAACGCTCAGTCATAGCACTAAGGGCATCTTGACAAATAACTTGTGATGCAATGATGATGCAATAATGACTGTATTTTGCAAATTAACTGAATAGATGAAACTGAATCATAAGGTGGGTTGCTTTGACATCATGGCGCTTGGAGAAATCCAGCTGTACGATTTAGGAAAATAGAAAATATGACTAACGTTATATTTTAATTAACATGTAGATGCAACTCCAATTAGTAGCTGAATCATAGACTAAGCCAATTTAGGTTGTAGCCGCAACACGTGTAAATTCACTAGGCGCAAGTTAGATAGAATTCTAATGTAGAATAATAACGTATATATAAGAGGGTGCCGCATGCCATAGATGTACATATTATTATCGATAAATTATTTTATTTATTTATTGCCCGCGTATTTATAATATGAGATAGAGTTCTGCAATTAAAGTATTTATTTTTGTACGTTTGGTGACTAACGTTTATCATGAATGTAAGGGATCGTATCAAATATCAATGAGTCTTTTTTGCGAAGCTATTTGAGTGAAGGGCGAGGGTAAAAACTAAAGACAGGTTTCAAAGCAAAGAATATTGGCAACCGAGGTGATCTGAGCCTCTATTAAGTAGCTACAAGACCCTGTGACCCCCCCCCTAATTGACTACATACATCTCACACAGACACGGGGAGGTATGTAGGGGGGGGGGGTCACAAGGACTTGTAGCTAGACTATCAGTTTCGCGAAAAATGGACATTGATATTTAGACTCGATCCCCAAATATGTTGTATATTAGCACACCAAGAATACTCATAGGGATCAAAGAAAGCAGTGTTGAAAAGTGAACGAAGAGTACCTCCAGCTGTGTATAACGTAGAACCCTGATTATCTACTTAAATTATTGAAAGCCTGTTTATATACTTCCATTAAAAATCAGGCACTATTTATGTATTTATTAATATTTATTATAATATTCCATTTTGATCTGTTCAGAATGAAATGATGTAAAAACGGAATTGTGGTACCTATTTGTGGTATTGCACTAGTAGTTTGTACCACTTACTCAATGCTCTGTATTGAAAATAAAATGTTTATGTTGTCTTTAAAAGTAAAATTTGTTTTGTTACACTTCCAATTCTATAAGTTAATGAAAACATTGTGATCCACATACTAGACCAACATAAGATATACATCCCCGAAGGACCCCTTTACTAACGATAATCCAAATTTTCCAAATTCTCAAAGTATAATTAACGACGGTTCTTATATGTACCATGATAGGATGTGTTCCCGGTATTGTGGATTAGCTGAAGAATTTGATTGTACATGCCCCCCAATTACGTCATCTTAAAGCATAAATTTTGGACAAGTCTCTCTGCTGTCACCATTCATTCTCCTTTAAGTCACCGACCGGTCGCCAAAACTACCTGAGTGCATCAAGGTTCAATACTAGGTCCACTAATGTTTCTGATTCAGATGGAAAATATTTCCAAACTTAATACTTGATATTATATGTACTCATTGTAAGATATATATTTATATCATTTATGAACAATAACCACAGTCAAAAAGCATTGAACATCAACAAATTATCGAAATCATCGTGTAGAATGCAAATGTCATCCTAATGGCATGATCCCGTGACATTGGTCATCTAAGATCTTGCAAAAACGGTCAATCCTATGAATAATGCTTGAAATGGGACTGCGTGACTGCGTTCCCAAGGGGACAAAGGAATGACAACACTGATGCCGTGGAAAATTTCGGATAAAGCATCCGAGACGTAGGTTCTGACTGCAATGAACGTATATATCCCATCAACTCCACGAATGTACAGTACTGTGGTCTTCATACTTCATACGATTGGCTAGAAACTACTCGTGTTACACGTTTAGTTTTGAACATGACAAACCAAGGAGGATTAACTCCCAGAGGAGTGCAACATCGATATTCTGTCCCATATATGGTGTTCATACATGTCGTGATATAAAATTCGAATTCAAACAGCCACAATTTTGTTCACTTCTACATTTGAATCGTGAATTCTGGTCTTATTTCATAACGAAAAAAAGCTCACAAGAAATATTTGTTCGATTCTTTTGAATTGTTTATTTTGAATTTATAGTCGGTTTTAATTTCAGAAAATAACGACATTTCGACGTTTTCATTGTTGGAAAATATCCAGTTTCGATCCTGGGAGCCAATCCTCCTTGATGACAAACATAATCTGCTTCTGATCTTCTCCCAAGTTTTAGAATTTTTGGGTTCGCGCACACGTGTCTGCTGGTAGTTGTAATAATTTATTGAATTCTGGGGTAAAATATCATTATGTTTTCCAGAGATCAGTAAATCATAGTTTTAAACCACTGAACATAATTGGGGACGAGTTTCCGAAATAAGAATGGCATTTTTATTCATTTTTGTAAGTGGGGCATTGCATTCGCGTACCATGTAGCGTGCTACAACCCCCTTCGTGTGGGAGGTTAATGTACCAATATAAGTGACAACAACAAAGGAACTAGTTGGTGAAAATCAATGTTCATAGTATAACAGCTTAGAACAAGCAGTTTGACTTCCTATAAGTTAGCATCTAGCTAAGAGGATGGATTTTCTCCACCCCCAATGAACTTTATTAAATTGAATAACTTTAGTGTAATTTTTTTTAACTTAACTGCATGACGCTAATGGCATCATTAGTAAGAAAAGGTTGATGAAATATCATAATTTAACATGCCAGGAATTTCATGTGACTACTCATATGAGATACACTAGAGTCCATTTCACTGCTTCATTTCGTCAGTAGAACGGCAAAAATAAGAAATTGGGAGACCATTGTGCAATAATATATGGAAAAGTATATTCATTTGTATATTTCAGATTTTTTAGTTTTTTGTGCAATAAGCCTGTGCCGTCTTGTAATTTGAAGAATTTCAGCCATGTTAATATTATTGAAAATAACATGGCAGAGAAACATCCAAATATAAGAGGCCACACACTTTATAAGCCAAACTAGAAGCAATCCAAGATATACAAATGTCATTCATGTACATTATGAATATACTTTTCCATATATTATTGCACAATGGTCTCCCAATTTCTTATTTTTGCCGTTCTACTGACGAAATGAAGCAGTGAAATGGACTCTAAATGAATATGAAGAATATCATCACCTTCTATCAATAAATATTGATTCGTGCGCCATCTTTACAACTTTAAAGAAGCAAATTACACTTTCTTATATGACGGTTTTTCAAATGTAATTTAATAATTGATATTTTTCTGACCTTGTATTAAACGGCTGAAATGAATGTTACGCTGTACCCATTCAGTCGTCGATGGTGAGACTTTTCTATTTTGCCCTTTGACTCCTACTTATTCAAGTCTATTTCGGTGAAAATTGACTGATTGATTGAATTTGACATTTTTCTTATTATTGGGTTATTGATATTGCAAGAAATAAGTTCCATGTTAGGCGTGCTTAACACCGACGCAAGAATCGAAGAACAGAAGATTTAACATTATGTCACCACTTTTTGAGGTGACATAAAAATATTTAAACAGGATTTCTCATAGATTTTTTAAAATACATTTTATAGTATAATTGTCTTTGGAAACGTTATAGTCTCTACTAGATATACATTAATATTTTGACATTTCAATATTTTTTTCATTACATTCCAATTACGAAAGTGTTTGACATGATTCTCCTGTGAAAATGGGATTTTCTTGTCCACAATAAATACTTATAAAATCATTATATAATATCATAAAGTGTACATTATATTTTAGTTTTATAATATAACATGTTGGACATATTTTTCCAACATTTTATATCAACCCCTCAGTGCTTTTGTATATGACTATACAGCATTTCGTTAATATAGCGCTTTCTACTTCGGAAATGTTCAAATGTTCTTAAATTAAAAGCATTAAATACTTACAAGAAAAATATAAACATTCAATTTTCTGTACAATAATTCAGCTGTCACTAGTCTGACACAATCTAAATTCCAGTAATTGACAACATGTTAAACCAATAGACGTTTCCAATAAACTCTGCCATTTTTTGCTATAACTAATAAACTAGGGTACGAGGGTTGTGCAAATTATAACATCAAAATAGTATTATTAATTGAAATGAAACTGTAGAATTGTAGAATAATCAAAATATCTACAAAGATCATTCACTTAACATTTCATGGAAAAATATCAAGTATTGATAACTTTAGAGCAAATACTGCATTACTTCTGGGACAACCCTCGGATATTGGTCGGATTGGCGATATATTGCTCAGACTGATGATGTCATAGATTGTAGGTAGCATTGTTTCCAAACAATTTGCTAAACATTGATACACACAACCTTTAACATCATGGATTTGGCCAAAATATCCTAGCTTCTTTGTTGTAGCAAAATTGACAGGGAATGGATTGAAAAGGCCCATTGGTTTGAGAATCAACAACATGTTGGACTAACTGGATTGAGAATTGGCACATACAATACATGTTATTTAACTTAGATTTATAAAATATCAACAATGGACATGCAAAAAGTGTGTTGTTCCCACTTGAATCCTCTACTGGCTTTGTATTAACTAATTTTAGTTAACTTCTTCGATTACAAAGTTTTGAAGTGATTGAAAATCAAAATACTAATTGAGTATGACAAGCCTGTAAGAGTCCATAGAGAGAGATTTCTGAAACATTTGAAATGTACTAACATACTTGTGCATTTCAAAGGTCGCAATTTCTTAATGTTTAAAAAATCTTAGTGAACCAGCTAAAATATCAGGCATACCAGCACAAGGATTAGCAATGCATTATTATTTATTGTGGACAGTGTCAGAGATGAACATTAACGTTAAGTAGTAGACAACTACAGGATTCCACTCACCAATACAGTCAAACTTGTATAAGTGTAACACTGTTCCTCTCAACATAGTGTTTCATTTAGGAGGTGTTCTATTTAGAGGTTCACTTTACACTGGTAACTGGACTTACAGTGTTCCAGTTAATGAGGAGTTTCACTGACAGAGGGGTTCCACTTCATAGGTTTTAGTGTACATTAAATGATAGAAAAACATTGTTTAAAACAGGTTATCTATCAAAAATCCTACAAGATAGTGATAATATAGTATTGCATTATAATCATTGCACCTAACTTTTTACATAAACAAACAAGATCAAATATGAAATTTCGACGCAATCATTTTTATATTAGCAGTTACACCAATCTGTTGACCTGGATCACTTTACCAATAACTTATATTAATAGTCATAAAACTTTCCCAGATTGACTTAAAACTTGATTGTAAGACTCTAGAAATTTCACAGATACTCGGTTGTCATGATATCTTTGATAAATGTTAGCTGAAAAGCCTGAATCTGAGTCCTATTTGAACCATAGAAGATATTTTGTAAATCAACAAGTCTTCATTGTAATGTACCATGGTTTCACTATCCCTGAATATTGCCTCTTGTCTTTGTGACACATTGTATTAAATAAGACATATTAACAAATTTATTGTGTCAAATGAGACACACATATTGAGTCAATAATACATATACATGGAACACATATGACATCTCAGTTAGACACACATAATGCCTATGAGACATATACATACATGTGCGTCATGTAATATTACCTCATTCTCTCTATATTCTAACTATTGCAGCATTATCAACATGTGTTTGTTATTGAAAAGGCGGATTGTCCCCATACAAGGCATCAGCAATAGTAATAGTAATACCTTACTGGTCCCACATACATGGCACATACATGGCATCAGCAATACATCACTTGTCCCACATACATGGCATCAGCAATGCATTACTTGTCCCACATACATGGCATCAGCAATACATCACTTGTCCCACATACAAGGCATCAGCAATACATCACTTGTCCCACATACATGGCATCAGCAATACATTACTGGTCCTACATACATGGTATCAGCAATACATTACTGGTCCAACATACATGGCATCAGCAATACATCACTGGTCTCACATACATGGCATCAGCAATACCTTACTGGTCCCACATACATGGCATCAGCAACACCTTACTGGTCCAACATACATGGCATCGGCAATACCTTACTGGTCCCACATACATGGCATCAGCAATACCTTACTGGTCCCACATACATGGCATCAGCAATACATCACTTGTCCCCATACATGGCATCAGCAATACCTTACTGGTCCCACATACATTGCATCAGCAATACATTACTTGTCCCACATACAAGGCATCAGCAATACATCACTTGTCCCACATACATGGCATCAGCAATACATCACTTGTCCCCATACATGACATCAGCAATACATTACTGGTCCCACATACATGGCATCAGCGATACATCACTTGTCCCACATACATGGCATCAGCGATACATCACTTGTCCCACATACATGGCATCAGCAATACATCACTTGTCCCACATACATGGCATCAGCAATACATCACTTGTCCCCATACATGACATCAGCAATACATCACTTGTCCCCATACATGACATCAGCAATACATTACTGGTCCCACATACATGACATCAGCAATACATTACTGGTCCCACATACATGGCATCAGCAATACCTTACTGGTCCCACATACATGGCATCAGCAATACCTTACTGGTCCCACATACATGGCATCAGCAATACATTACTGGTCCTACATACATGGCATCAGCAATACATTACTGGTCCCACATACATGGCATCAGCAATACCTTACTGGTCCCACATACATGGCATCAGCAATACCTTACTGGTCCCACATACATGGCATCGGCAATACCTTACTGGTCTCACATACATGGCATCAGCAATACATTACTGGTCTCACATACATGGCATCAGCAATACATTACTTGCCCCCCATACATGGCATCAGCAATACATCACTGGTCTCACATATATGGCATCAGCAATACATTACTGGTCCCACATACATGGCATCAGCAATACCTTACTGGTCCCACATACATGGCATCGGCAATACCTTACTGGTCCCACATACATGGCATCAGCAATACCTTACTGGTCCCACATACATGGCATCAGCAATACATTACTGGTCCTACATACAAGGCATCAGCAATACATCACTTGTCCCACATACATGGCATCAGCAATACATTACTTGTCCCCATACATGGCATCAGCAATACATTACTGGTCCTACATACAAGGCATCAGCAATACATCACTTGTCCCCATACATGGCATCAGCAATACCACACTGACATATTGCTTTAAGCGTGCTATTACAAACACATGATCACAAATTGCACCTTTTTAAACATTAGTCATATCATTATAAACTAGTACTATGTTGTAGAAGTTGTCCATCCATTTTTGAGCTTTATTTTTTCTCCATCTCTCTCATTATTACATTATATCCCAGCAGATTATCTATCTGTGTTTCTCGGGTCTGGATCCTATGTTTTATATCCATATGCGATTATTTTCAGTTCTCCACCGTTAATGCGTTTAAACATATTAACATGTCGCCTTATCGTCTAAAGAGGCAGGCTTAACACATTAAATGCTTTTATTTTTGAATATTGTGATAGAGCTCTGTAGAGGTATATACGAATTATATCCACTATGTCTCGCAACATTCTTACAGCTGTCATGCCTCATAAGGTCAAGGTCGTAGAACTGGATATATGGCCATATGTTTATTACCGCATCATTTAATAGCATTCTTGTTGCACATGTGACACGTAATGTAGTGAGCACCAAAAGTGACAAATGGCGAGGATTTCGGGATCCACTTTGTATGGTCACATTAATTCAATCGCAAACTTCAAAATAACATACTTTGTCGGCGGATTTTTCCTGAAAAGAAATAAAAAGATTTTTCAAGATATATCATAGAGAATTGATACCATGATTTGTAGAAATCTCTCAAAAAGAACAAATATTCAGGTTTACTGGTTCTAGTATTTTGACCTTGTACCATATAATAATCATAAATACTAATACATGTAAAGATATATTAGTGAAATCATTCAAAAAATGATTATACAGGGTGTCAAATACGTTCCACCCCTCTACAAAATATGGTTACATGTACATGTATGTATGTTTCCAGTTTAAATATGAAGTCAAAATCTAACTACCCATATAAGTGCCCATGGGAACTAACCTCCCTTGTTAATATGAGACCTACCTGAGCTTGCTAGAGAGGAGGTTCTCATCCCAGGGTCCTTTTGAAGCACTATTCCTGGCCTGCTGAATATAGAACCAACTGAAACACCAAGTACAATTTCATTGTTATTCACATTATTATTTACTTTATTTTAACTCTTGCTTCATTTAATCTTAATACAATTACACAATATTAGTGACGATAACAATAGGAGCAACTAGAAGAACAGTAACTTAACAGAGTGGAAAATTCCAATAAACGCTAAATCATTTTGAACATTTCACGATAGAAATAACAAGGTTAAAATGTGCCTCTTTTTGGCAAAAACTACACCCATGACATTGATGATTTCACTGTCCATTTGTAATTAACTTCAAAAGTTGTGTATTCAATAGGAGCCAGGATTCGTATAGGTAGCAGTTTACTTAATTTTGTACAATTGGCTTACACGTAAATATTGCTGTCTTAAAACTTCAAATGCACAACATAAATCAAATTAATAACACATTCTCTACATAGTTATTTACAACAAGTTTTAAGATTCAATATTATAAGGCTTGGGAAATTTTCATTGAAATCTATCTTGGGAGATTTTTGAAGCAAATGAATTCTGAATTCTTCGCCATCTATTGACAATTCTTAAGGTCATTGCATTTTACTTACTATCAGTCTGTGTACCCCATGGCCAAGAGAGGTAAAGGGTATTTTACTTACTATCTGGCAGTATGTGTACCCCAGGGCCAAGGGAGGTGAAGGGTATTTTACTAACTATCTGGCAGTATGTGTACCCCAGGGCCTAGGGAGGTGAAGTAAGTTTTTTTTACTCACTATCTGGCAGTTTGTGTACCCCAGGGCCAAATGAGGTGAAGGGTATTTTACTTATTATATGGCAGTCTGTGCACCCCAGGGCCTAGGGAGGTGAAAGGTATTTTACTAACTATCTGGCAGTATGTGTACCCCAGGGCCTAGGGAGGTGAAGTAAGTTTTTTTTACTCACTATCTGGCAGTTTGTGTACCCCAGGGCCAAATGAGGTGAAGGGTATTTTACTTATTATATGGTAGTCTGTGCACCCCAGGGCCTAGGGAGGTGAAGGGTATTTTACTTACTATCTGGCAGTCTGTGTACCCCAGGGCCTAGGGAGGTGAAGTAAGGGTGTTTCATGGCCTCAGCTGCAGATATCCTGCGCTTGGGATTGAACTGAAAAAACATTACCAAGAAATACATGACATACATTTATCACATTGTACACTGGAATAAGGTGGCAAGAGAGGTTTAGACCTTTTTAAAAAAGGGCCAAATTCAATAGACTTTCTGCACCTGCGGCTCTTAAAATACTGCTGAAAAACTGTTGCCAATGACCAATGAAATGATTTATTCAACTATAGTGGGTCAAACGAGGCCAAGGAAGTAGTTTGAGTGGTCACGAGTTGATGAGGAAAATTATTCAATAAAATACCCAAGATTCAAATTAATATAGCATAAATCCCACTCATCATGTGAAGACATTTATTAATAAACAATTAAACATACAATATGCAATACATGAAAATACATTTCAACCATAGCTAAATAAAAAAAAGAGAGTAGATAATAGACTTTAAATCGCAATATACAAATTAAGACAATGTAGACCACTCATTCATTACTTGACAACAATCTCAATATTTAACTCATCCTCATTCATTTAGTAGAAACACAAATATAATTTACAATTCAATACATGCAATACACTTTCAACCATACTAAAAGAGAGTAGTAAAATCATAATATACAAACTGAGACAATGAAATTAAGTAGAGACTTGAAAAGTACTTACTTTTAATAGTTTACTTAAGAGATCTAAACCATCTGAATCTACCCTGGGTGCATGGTTCAAAAGAGGTTCTGCCTCATAGTATGGAAAATTGTACGATACAAACTCATCATTTTGTGTAATGCCTACAAAAATAGCATCAATGAGAAAACGTATGCAAAGAAATCAATGAACAATATGTTCAAAATTTTCCTCAATTTTTCTAACTGGATGCGTTGAATGCCTTGTTTGACATATTTTTCATTCGAACAAATAACTACATGTATAAATGTTGATTTTCTTATCAGGTTTTACTTAATCAGGACAATTACTTCTTCACACAGTACAATTTTCATTTTTTACCTGGATATGTATGCTCGTCAGGGGTCCCTAAAACTTTGAAGATGAGGTGGAGCTCATCAGTAACTGTAGAACCAGGGAAAAGTGGCCTTCCACATGCCATCTCATAGAATATGCAACCAACTCCCCTGAAATAAGATCTCAATATGAAGATTTTATGGAGATAAATCAACTGCCATGTATAGAGAAACACATTGGAAGCTTTAAATGAATATTTAATATTATCCCACGATTAATGTGTTATCTGTACAATAACAGCTGTTGATATTTCTGATATTATTGAAATCCGTGTGATATTTTCCAGAAAATCGTTTATCAAACTCATATGCGTGTGATATCGTTTATCTCACGCATATCCGTGTGATATCACATTTGCATTTCACGCCACAATATTGTTGGAAATTAGGTCAGATAATTTATTCTCTTTTGAGAAAATAGGTCTGCAAGTGTCCTGGAAATTGGATCAGAACATCACAAGGTGATTGTAATCATGGGATAAACCCAATATCACATAATTTCTTGTGATATCATTTTATCGCCTCGTAGATATCAAATATCAACACTCATTCGCTTCGCTCACTCGTGTTGATATTTGATATCAACTCGGCGATTAAAATGATATCACTCAAAATTATGTGATATTCTGTATTTATTATTCAATTGTACTCTTTTTGTTTTCTTAATATTTTTATTATTTATTATTGCGGAGACATGTTTTGTGTATTTTATATCTACGAGTATACTATTTGAATAATTGTGAAATTTATGAATTATAATTCTTGTGTCTAGAGTGAGTATAGTAATATATTTTTGAATTAATTGCTTTCATATAATTATGCACTGATAGTGTACTGATAAAATTCTCTCTTGAACAATGAACAAAAATTATAGAAAATACTAAATATAATTTTTTTTTTAATGTTTTCTCTTACCACATATCTATCGGAGTGGAGTATTCCGTGGAGCCTAAAAGTACATCAGGGGGTCTGTACCACAGAGTAACGACTTCATTAGAGTACGTCTTGGTTGGGATGGACTTTGCACGAGCGAGACCTACAAAGATATTTCTAATGTAATGTTGCATTGAAATCATGCTTGTTGTCTTAAGGAACCAATCTGATATCTCCGCTTTTCAATCTAGTTTAAAGCAGATATGAAATGGTATTTTTAACCTAAAGGAATCAATATATTTTTTTGATAAATGCATTTGGACATGTTTTCTCATCAGCAGTGTGAAAATTATTTCACTCTAACGATCGATATAGCTGCTTAATAAGCAATATTCAAATTGGTTGTGACGTTATTGGCCCCCACGTGATCTCTCACTGGCCCCCACTTGGCCGGTTTTGGTCCATTAGATCATGTCGTCATAATGGCAAAATGTTTTGTTATTTGTTTACACAACAATCCTATGGTTGCCGTGACGTTGTGATTACTAAGGAACCAATACACCAAAGCTATATTTTGTATATGACGCCACTAATCACGTGGGGGCCAATTTGATTGATCAGTTAGTTTTATTTCGTTATCTATGACCATTAGCAGTTATCTAACATTTATTTTGTAATGGCTATCGCAAGAACTCTACGTTGGGCTTACAATGAAGAAAACCGCATTTCTGTAGCTGCAAGTTGAGAAAAGCTATTTCAGTTGTCCTTTAAATGTTTTAAAAGCGATTACAATGAGCTTATTATATTCATTTGGTATTGCAATACATGAGTTATTGGCACTTGTACTGAACTGAACATACATATACTTTGTTTGAATCTTTTATATTAATACTTTTGTTTTATTTTATTTAGAGTACTGAATGCCTCAGCTCTAATAAGACTGTCATTGGGTATTCTTTTTAAATTGGCTTCCCAGGTGTCTCAACCAAAATTCCCATGCAAAAACAATTTTATCAAAAATGCAGACCACAGGCTCTTGGTGACATTGTTCAGACTGTTAAGAAATAATATTAAAATAAAATATTGAATTAAGCAGATGAAAGGAAATAATGCTGGTTTTCATCATCAAACATACAAATCTATATCATTCAGAATTGTGGTTTTAAAAATTTGAATTTCCTTTGATAATAGGATTTCTTGATCAGATATATTCCCCAGTAGTGTTACAGGGGGATGCTATTTTATAATATAAAGACAAGTGAAATATCCTTTCTTGGTGATGATGATCATAATGAACAGTTAAAAGGGTTTGATTAAAAATAGATCCAATTAATCAATTAATTATTCATGTTTAGAAGAGACTTTGAGTATCTGTGCCATGTTATCTGACTCCGGTAATCCACCTGGTGGTAAAGAACTGGTAACTACCTACTGGGAACTAGGTAATTGACATCACCATACTCACCAAAGTCTGCCAGTTTGAGTTCTCCTTGTTCATTTATTAGCAGATTTTGAGGCTTAAGGTCCCTGTGCAGCACACGCCTTGCATGGCAATAATGTAAACCTCGTAACAATTGAAATAAAAATATCTGAAATCAAACAAACATTTATCTTAACCCCTTGAATAGCCAGATTGATGGACATATCGGTCAATTACTCACTTAAATGGCTCTAACTTTGACAAATTTTGATCAGTTACCATAATATCTCTAACCTTTATCTTCAACTTTATAACTGTATGACCTTAAGTTTCGATAGAAGTAAATTCTAATTTTAGTGACAAAAATAGTACTTTTAATGAGATTTTCTTGTTTATCAACTAAAGAAAAACATGGTCTCGAAAATGAGGCGATTTTAAATTCAACAAACCAGTCAAAAACATCTTCAATTGACAAAAAATTAAGGTAATTACATAAGTGCATTTTGCGTTCGCAAGACAAAAGGATGTGATGTGTATGAATATGATGCAGCACCCACCTTTACATTTGTCATGTTCATTATGTTACCACAGTCATCCATATACTGCTTGAGATCTTTTTCCTAAAATACCCAATATACAACATAAATACAAGGCATTAATGTGCAAAATGTCACCACCTGCCATTTGTTACAGATGTCGACTGTTGCATGGGAACCATTTGTTTGTATACATCCCAAAGATTGCAATATGAAAATGCATTAAATTTTACCTTACTACTTATATTAGGGTACAGTGGCCCTTGGTCTTAATTAATATTAGGGAATGAGTACTAGGGCTCTCACGGTTTCATAATTCCTCGGTTCGGTTCGGTTCACGGTTTTTATCTCCTCGGTTTCGGTTTCGGTTGGGTTTTCGGTTCTTATCGCACTTTAATGTAAAAAATCTCAAAAAGATGGCGCGATTTCATTATTTAAATGAGCAGCCCGGGAGCACTTACCTCTGATCTAAGTCAGTTTTATTTACAAAGTAATCATTAACTTTGTATTGTATTTTATTTATGCAATGATAAATAGATGGCGCGATTTCATAATAAATAAGTGGCCCGGGAGCATGTATAACTCTGATCTATTCTATTTCTGCAGACAGCAAAGGATGTGTCTGGGTATATGCCCTTTTGGTCCCTCAGTCAAATGTATGTGAAATATGGTTTTTATTACTGTCCTAGTTATATTTGATAAGTATATTTACTTTTTCATGAGTTTTGATGCATAATTAGCCCCCTGCTGAGAGTCAGAATAAGTAGCCTAACAAACAAAAAATAGTCATTATCATAGAAAAAAAAACACCAATGGTAACATGTATGACATACAAAGAAGAAATATCTTAAGACCCATGAAGAATTAAAAAGAAAAGCATATTTTTGAAATATATTTAAGGATTAAAAATTTTTTCAAATTTTTGAATTTCCCGCCAGTTTAATTTGAGGGGGAAAAACAAGATGGCTGCCATGTGATGTAAGAAATATCAGAAAAAAAGTTGCTTCACTTTTAGTTTTCACAATAAGCACAGTTTTCCGGTTTGGGTTTTTTGAATGAATCTGACTCTTCATCACCAGGGTCATGTATAGGGATTATAAAATTGAAACCAAAATGTTGTGCTCAGCATGAATTTGACTGAAATATGTGTAACTTCACCAACACAATTGAAGTCTCAAAACTGGATGCTCAGTAACTTTGAGTGACTATAATCCCTTGATTACCCAGTTAAACACAAATTCACTTATCCAGAAATACCATTCAATGTCTATACAAAGAAAATAAGCAATGTTTTGGAGGATATGTTTCAAACTTTTTGTATAAATAATTCATTTAATATTTGCCATTGATTTTTTTTCAATTCTGACAAAGTGATATGCACTGTCTTTGATGCCAATATTCTTCATCAATTGTGATACAAATTGATATTTTATTGTAGTAATGTCAGAAAAAAGATAAGATATTGAAGTTTAATAATATGTGTGATTGAGTTGGTTTTTCAGACATTACAATTTTCAATATTTTCTAAGTCGATACCCAGACTCATCCTTTTCACACGTACCTTTCTCATATACCATAACAATTTTGCAAAGCCGGCATATCGTTCTTTCCGGGAGATGAACACCATCTCTCGTTGGAAATCCAAAATAACCCCAACAGTGGGCCTTGTACGACTTTGGAGCGTTTAGAATGCCGAAATCTTCACCTCTCGTTTCGAGATTCATCTTCCTCTACTTTAGCGAACGGCACTTTTTTCTGAATTAACGAACCGTTAAAAAACCAAACATCGGAGTTTTCGAACCAAACGTACCGACCGAGGCCCAAGAACCGCGGAGCACCGCGGTTTCGGTGCACCGTTAGACCCTTAATGAGAACAGACCTAAATATGAAATCAACTTTTTTTTTGTTGAATGATTTCATTTCAATTATAGCAAAGTCATTACTTACCAAATATTCAAAGACTAGTGTGAGTGATTTTTCTGTATGTATTATATCATGGAGGGTCACTATATTGTTGTGTTTCAGGTCACGTAATAGCGAAACTGAAAATCAAGAAATAGGATAAAGGTATAAGTTTTATGGACAAAGTTCTAAAGTGACTCAATTCATGTCCACAATACATTCAATATTTGAAATACAACCCATTTCAGGTTAAGTAATGGCAAACTAAAATACAGATAAATAAATGTAGAGCAATAGAGTATAGCTATGTAAAGTCATGTGTACAATATGTGTACTTGAAATACCACACAAAACTACCTAAACAATTGCTCCTTGCATGTTCATCACTGGTTCATTGTTATTAAATCAAATATATTCTCATAGTTTTAATAAATGAATTGGAACGAATAATACCAACTAAACCATTATTTCAATGCATATATTATATGAAATCGTACCTTCTCTGATGGCTGTACAAGGTGCACCCTCTTCATGTTCTAACCTTATTTCTTTCAAAGCAACCAAGTTGTCAGTAAGTAAACTTTTCCCTTTAAACACGGTTGCGTATGTACCCTACAATTGAATAAAAGATTAATTAAATATGGTTGAACAAAGTGAAATAAAAATAAGATCGGGGAAAGGATGATGAGTTGTATGTAGAATGAATTGGGGGAGTTTTCTCATGCATTTTGCTTATATTATCCTTTGCTTACAAAAATCATCAAATACTATGAAACGTTTTATTGACTATAAGATTACACCATATTATTAAAAAAAGTCTCATTTCCATGGATTATCCAAGTATTAACACCAAGGTATTTTAATTTCTCCAACTTGGCTAGGAATCATTGTTGTCACAGCATTTTTAAATAAGAAGAAACATGTTTCAAATAGGTATATTTAATGCAACACGTTTTAAACACTCAATTGTCTTACATTTCGGTGCTTATTAGATTGAATACAAGCGTAGTGAAACTCACCTCTCCGAGCTTGTCTAGTTTTGTATATGACTCAATTTTTCCGAACCCCAACTCAGACTGAAATGCAATAAAGCAATAATGTTAATTACGTTATTAGAAATTATCAAATAAAACAACAAAAAATACTTGACCCTAAAAGTAATGGAACATTTAGCAAAAATGCATGATAATTTAAAGCTAATGTACTAAATGAACCTGGTCTGGCCAAGTTTGATAACAACATTAGACAGGCAGTAAAATGTCAAGACATCATCACTTGCAAAAGTAAAACCTGTATAACCAAACACCACTATAATCTGAACACCTCTCAATGTGAACACTTTTTCTAGGTCTCCCACATTGAAATATGAACACCTGCTAATTCAAACACATTGGACTGGTCCAAGTGACATTAAGATTACACAGGTTTGACTGTAGTTACAAAAGTGTACCATATTATTACAGACAAAGACTAACCATCCTATTAAAAACCATGCACAATTTGCCAAATTTATTTTCTTACTGTTAAACATAACTCAACAATCAGGGAAAGGAGAATGTTAAATATAACAAGGGATTGCATCTCAAAAAGGTATGTAAGGTCAACAAGGTCAAGGTCAACATCAGAATATTGACCTCGCCTCTAATATATGTAGGAAGCTTATTTACCAGTGATGCTCTCCGGGACCGCCTGCTTAGTGGTTCATTCATTGTGGGACTTAATTGTTGTTTTTTCACAAAATGATCGGGAATCCTCATGTCGGCAGGTAGTGATAGACGTTTGTTGATGTCCTACAACAGAGAAATTAATACATGAATGCTGTTATCATTAAACTATTTATATGAATAAACATGTTTATGTAATATGTAAATACAGTATATACAGGGTGACACAAATCAATGCAACCCTCTCAATTTGGAAAGACAGAAAATATGATTTCTCTAATCTCAAAATCATCGATACAATATAGTAGAAAAGTATACAATACTATTCCAAGCAAGATAATGAAAATTCTAAATGAGATACACAAGATATTTTTGAAGATTCAACCATCACTAAGAAAGTTGTTTCAAAATATGAATTGTATTTTGACTCACCCTGTATAAAAGACATACTATTTACAAATAAGAACCATATCAAGGCAACTGTGACATTAATCTGCTAAGTTAGTTTCTGATATAATTTCAAAATCAACCAAATAATTGATTACATATTGGATAACATCAGCTACTACAATTAATATGCACTCTTCAGCGTGAGTGTTTTTCAGAGATAACAGTAATAATACCAGGAAGAATGGAAACACTGGTAATTAGAATTAGAAATAATGAAGCAGAAATGTAAATGGATAACCAGAAAGCAAATCTTAATATCTAAATGGATCTTGTAATTGTATTACAACGCTTCAAAGCAGTTCATATTAGATCGTGAAATAACAATGGCGATTGTAATGGTCTCATAAGGCTATTAATAGAGAGAGCAATTATCACCATGTGTTAGTGTTGTATTAGACACATCAATCTTATCTAGCTAGAACATATATTGCTAAAGCTGCATATAACCAGGCAACTCTTTGCTGGCTTTTTAATTTTAGACCATGACGATTTACAATGTAATGTCCAAATTTCAAACTGACCCTAGCACCATGCCTTTTACATTTGCCTTCAATTTATATTACCTGATAAATAAACATAGGCCACTGTTCAATAAAAACATAGTGGCAAAATGAACCAGACCATACTTTGCAGTCTTGCGCAATGTGAGATAGTAAGCCCTAAAGGGTTGGTATGGTCCGCTGGTCATTACCAGGTTACTTTTGATACGGACCAGTTAATTTTAATAATAATATGTAAAGGAAAATAAAATTGGAAATCGACTGTAATGCCATTTTGACCAGCAGACTTCAGATCCATAAGGCCTACACTGATATTGCCAATATCTTCAAAATAGACCTTAGCACCATACTGTTAAGTCATGTAACCCTTGTTCTTATTTACAACAAATATTAGGCCTGAAGGGGATAGATCATTGAATTCAAAGGGAAAGGACCAAAAATTGTAACAGAACACAGTAAGGAAAAGAAACATCCACGAGTTCACCAGACACAAAGAAAATGAAACCCAACTATCCCAAATTAATCTAACATGAAAAGAAACAATGTTTAATACCCCCCCCCTCCTCCTGACCATTCAAATAATATTATTACAATCCGATACCATAACACCAAGGGATATTTCATTCATACTGAAGTCATTACAATACATGTAACCATAATGCCCATTACATCAAATAACATCTGAGTTTCATATATTCATTAGTTGTTCTTATATATGCCACAGCTAGCCATTAAGAAAATATCGAGCTTTCTGTCTGCCAGGCAAATTGCTACGTTTGCAGATAAATCTCAAACGCTATAATTACAAGCCATGATTAATTTGTGGATGTAATGTTACCTCGCTGAAACGTCTACTCCGCACACGCAGCTTGACTGGAGATATAGTCTCGTCTCTGTCATCAGAGGCTCCCGATGTTTCCTCACTCTCACCGTCAGAGCCAATTCGTGGATTCTCATGTACAATACCTAGAAATACATAACGCATCATGAATTCATGTACATATAGGGCAGACCCGTAGCCAGGGGGGGGGGGTTCGCAGGGTTTCAAAATCATGCAGAGCACTTCTCAAGTGATTTTAGCCATATTTGGTACAAAATTGTCAAATGTGAACCCCCCTGAAAATTTTTGAAAACTGAACCCCCCTTGACAAAACCTGGCTACGGGCCTGTAAGGTGACCTGAATATTGGATGGTTGCATTTTTTTGGGTCACCATGTAATTTAAAAATGGTCATAATTGAAATCAGAAAATCTTCAATACATTACATTTTTACCATCTATAGGTAGCTGACAAGCATTTGCACTCAAACTCTCATGTAAAGTATGAATACTCCATATTAGTTCATTAAGATCATCTCAGCATTACAACTGTCATTTGTAGCAGTCAGTAATGATCCAATGTGACTTCAAATATGTAATCCACTCCAGGAGAGGAGAAGGAGAAGGGAAGGAGAGTAATATTGAGGAGGGAGAGCGAGTGGTGCCATTCACTGATGAATCTGAGGACAAAATGCATAGCATGCGAGAAATTTTCGATGAATCAGGATTGGATCCTTCAAGATCGGGCTACGCTTCTGTGAAGAAGTGAAATAGACCAAGGATGCAGGATTGCTTCTTCAGACTATTTTCTACCAACATTCAGTTTTTCTAACTTGAGCTCAATGCAATGTCTTTTAAACATCTCTCCCTTGTGATCCCCAATATAATACATATACAGCAGTATCCCGAATAGAGCCTATTCTATACTATATGCTGGTTTAACTGTATAAGAGCCACCACCTACTATGAGAGAAATTGTTAACAGTGGGAACCTATGTCAAAGACACTACTAAACAGTTTAATAAACCTTTGTTATTCTTGAGATATTGCAAATCTTGTGGAAATAATAAACCAGAAAAGGCCCAGAAATATTGACCTCAAACAATTCTTAACCATGAGGCCTTTGAAAACATAACTGCCATGGTTTATCTCAGAGACAACTGCAAGTTGGGCGAGTGTGATGATGAGTAATGACACTGATACTAAAATAAGAACTTGGACAAAAAACATAGATTTCTTTTCTTGCTTCTATGGTTCAAGTTTCACTCATCTGAACAAAGCCAAGGTGACAACAGAAAGCCCACCAGATGTTAATTGACATCATAATTTTGAAGTTTGTTTTTGCTTGCTGGAGAAAACATTTACTTTTCTTGATACTTTAAACATGTTCGATATAATAAATGATGGCAAACTTTTAGAGAGAAATTACTAAAACAAACTAACTAGTTGGTATTGTTTTGGGATATTGTTCGATATTTTAGCGGAATTATTTTTAAAATGACCTCAAAACCATTTCTTGAACATTTTTTGAGAACTTCTTCGTTTTCATCATTTGAAAAACTTGAGTGTTTGTGGTGGTCTTCAAGTGTATATGTAATACCTATTTGTGGCTCTACTTTTTTCTTGCGATTTTTTTCACAGAATGGATTTACTTATTTCCCAATACATGCATTAGAAATGGATAATTACCGTATTTGAACTGGTGCCTGGGTGCTAAAGCAAGTCAAAACAGTTCATATAAAGTAGTCCTTATTAGCGCTCATATGAGTCCTGGTAAGAAAAAATTTGGGAGTTTTGACAAATTTATTATTGTTCATGAAATTCACCACGTTTGCATGAACTGTGGGGTTCTAACGTGGACTTTCATCAGTATTTTACACAAGTCGATAGGAAAAATGATATAAACCTACTAAATGGAATTTGAATTTCTTCTCAGCCTCGTTTTAGCATTGCATATAAGGGACCGATCATTTTCAACAGATACTGAAACTTGGTGGCAAGATTATGGCAAAAATCACCAGTAGACATTAAAGTAATAAATATATACTTGATTTACAAACATTATATACATCATATGGTGAAAAGAATGACATATTCAAGCTGGAATACCTTTTGGAAAACTGCAAAAAGTAAGTGAAACCAGTAAGTACTCTATTATCGCCCGACTTCTTACTTTTGACCATAATGACTCATCCTCGGGCCTTGAAAAGTCTAAGGGGCACTAATAGGAACATGAGCGCCAATTACGGCAAATACCGTATAACTTTATCAGGTATTAAGGCAAGGGTGCATGATCATAATTTTTCTGCATTCCTCAGTTCAGTCACATGTTATCCTTCAAACAGGAATCACTCCTTCCACACATTGCCTACATCTTCCAGTTTTGCACAAAAAGCGCACTTATATGCCTTGAAAAGACTGGTGAGAAGATTTCTTGTTTTTATACATTTTATCAAAACATTCTTCTATACATTGTTTTCTAGGTATATTAAGTGAACTCGTTGTGCAAAAGTTAGAGATGTTGACATACTACTTTTTTCAAGGCCTGACTGCGTCGCTAACATGCTAAATATAAGAGTTAGCTGACGTTTGGGAGTCTGACTTACCTTCTAAAGGTTAGAACCCGAATCTTAATGAAACCATATCACCTTTGTTCCGTCAACCATGGAGCATTTGCCACAACATCCAAGAGGTAAATCATGGATCGAGAAAATGAATGATTTCCTTGTAAGTTCCGGAAGTTTCAATACGAAAAATTACCGAACATATGTGAAAACCGAATATTTGTTCGTTGTTTTCACGATTTACAGATTCGTTTGTTCTTCAATGTTTTGGTCTAAATTAAAAGCATCACCAAAAGGTCTTACTCTATTAATCGACTAATACAGCAGACGGCTCATATTTCTACGTAGCATTTCATTCAGATCAATAGTGGGAGTGTAGATCACGCAGTTTCGTTCGTTGCGTACTTCACTTGAAATTGGTAATTTTAAATATTGGCTACTTCACTTAGCTTGGCGGATGTAGAACATTGCTTAATATTCTTTTAATTTTCACACCAGACATGCTTGGTTGACACGTCAACAAAGTAAAGTTCAAGGGTCAATGCATTATTTCGTGATAACTACAACGCCTTCCCGGAAGTCAACATGATGAAAAATGAAAAAGTCGGAAGAGCATTTACACTAATTTCTATCAAATGCTATGTTTATGCATCATCATCGACGCAACAAAGGTGATATGGTTTCATTAAGATTCGGGTTCTAACCTTTAGAAGGTAAGTCAGACTCCCAAACGTCAGCTAACTCTTATATTTAGCATGTTAGCGACGCAGTCAGGCCTTGAAAAAAGTAGTAGTGGGGAAGGAGTGATTCAAATTTGAAAAATAACATGAGACATTATTGAGGGTTGCAGCAAAATTCGGAACATGCACCCAGCCTTAAGGCTCAGCTGGAAAGTAACATTTTGGTAAAAAATTGCTGTACCTGCCCATGCTATTTTCTGTTATACTTTTTTCAATGTAATGAGAAGATTCGTTATGTTAAATGTATTAAAAATGAGAAAATTCAGTGAAAAAGAATTCTGAAAATTTTCTGAATTTTTCACTGAATTTTCTTGTTTTTTATACATTTTATCTAAACATTCTTCTTTACATTCTTTTCTAGGTACATTAAGTGCACTCGTTGTGCAAAAGTTAGAGATGTTGACATAGTGAGGAAGGAGTGATTCAAATAACATGTGACATTATTGAGGGTTGCAGCAAAATTCGGAACATGCACTCAGCCTTAAGGCTCAGCTGGAAAATAACATTTTGGTAAAAAATTGCTGTACCTGCACATGCTATTTTCTGGTACAAAATTTAGTATGAAGACATGTGTGTATTTCCTTGCTTTTTTCAGGAAAGTATCAGTACACTGTCTACTTTTAGTAAATCTGGAAACGGGTCAATGGTAGCTCCTGTGTTGTCTGGAAACTTTGAAAGAAAATTTGGAAAAATACAAAGTGTGAAATATCAGAATTTCCTGGAGTTCCCATTGAACTCCTACCAGATATTCTAAAAGGAGACAAGGCATTAACATGACAAAATGTCACCACCTAGTTGCTCACAATATTAAGTCAGATTTGAATTTCTGAGAACTTGTAAAGTCAAATTTGAACTTCTGAAAAGATGTAGATAATTTTGAAAAAAAAATTTGGTCAATTTGAAGCAAGTTGAAAACAGACCTTTTTGACCTTTTTTGACCTTGAGAAGGTCATTAAAGGTCAAATGTCAAATCTAAAGTCAGATTTGAATTTCTTAGAACATGTAGATGATTTTGAAAAAAAAAATTAGTCAATTTGAAGCAAGTTGAAAAAAGACCTTTTTGACCTTTTTAGACCTTGAGAAGGTCATTGAAGGTCAAATGTCAAATCTAAAGTCATATTTGAATTTCTGAGAACATGTAGATGATTTTGAAAAAAAATTTAGTCAATTTGAAGCAAGATGAAAAAATACCCTTTTGACCTTTTTTGACATTGAGAAGGTCATTGAAGGTCAAATGTCAAATCTAAGGTCAGATTTGAATTTCTGAGAACATGTAGATGATTTTGAAAAAAAAATTTAGTCAATTTGAAGCAAGTTTAAAAAAGACCTTTATGACCTTTTTTGACTTTGAGAAGGTCATTGAAGGTCAAATGTCAAATCTTAAGTCAAATCTAAAGTCAGATTTGAATTTCTGAGAACACGTAGATGATTTTGAAATTTTTTTTAGTCAATTTGAAGCAAGTTGAAAACAGACCTTTTTGACCTTTTTTGACCTTGAGAAGGTCATTAAAGTTCAAATGTCAAATCTAAAGTCAGATTTGAATTTCTGAGAACATGTTGATTTTGAAAAAAAAAATTAGTCAATTTGAAGCAAGTTGAAAAAAGACCTTTTTGACCTTTTTTGACCTTGAGAAGGTCATTGAAGGTCAAATGTCAAATCTAAAGTCATATTTGAATTTCTGAGAACATGTAGATGATTTTGAAAAAAAAATTAGTAAATTTGAAGCAAGATGAAAAAATACCTTTTTGACCTTTTTTGACATTGAGAAGGTCATTGAAGGTCAAATGTCAAATCTAAAGTCAGATTTGAATTTCTGAGAACATGTAGATGATTTTGAAAAAAA